TTTATTCATATTCCTAATATAATTGGTTTCTGCTTCATTATATATTGCAAAACCGAGGACGAAATATCGAAAAGAAAGACTCATTTAAATTATTTCTTCATATATGGCAGTTATTTTTGTCTTAAATGTAAAATAGTTAATTTAACATGAATAATTTAAACAAATATGATATAAAATAATTAGATATGCGTATTCTTTTACGAAATGCTAAGAAATAATATATAAATAATCGCATTGTATATTTCATTATTGATATTCCTATAGATTTTAACGATAATAACGTTGCTGTTAAACATTATTGTTTACGTAATATGTCAAGTTATATTGGAACATTTAAATAACGCTGCGTAATTAATTAGCAATGAAATTACTTTATATTTATCAAAGAAAGTTGAAACAATACGTGAGAATTCGAATAATATTAAATTTGTCTTCGAACAAATTTCCCACAAAGTTGCAGATGAAATAAATAATGTGAATAATGTATAGTCCTTTCATTACGAGAAATTCTCGTTACTGTCTTTACGCACGCTTTTGAATAATTCAAATTCTTAAAAGATAATTTTTTCAGTGAGTTTGAGATGATTCAGATCCAAACATATCTTGCTAAACTTTTCATATTATATTTCTCATATTATTCGCTCTCTTTGGTAGGAATTCGTTTAGTCTCGACAAATGGATCTTTAAGACAATTATATTTTATAGAATTATTAATACTGATGTATAATCCAAAAGAAAAAGATGAAATGATACTGAAAAAAAATTATACAACGAATCCAAAAAACAAAAACATAAAGTATCACTTCGTATATCGTATGGAGGAAATCTGAATTCGCTTTTATTTTGGACCTGGTTTGTGTTGTAGCATAAATTTATCCACAATGGCTGCAATGCAACTTGCAATTTGATACTTCCGCACATGGCCGGTGACAACTTCGTCTGTGGGTGCTACAACTAAAGAGGATCCGGAAATTGTAAAAATTTTTTTAAGATGTTTAAACTATTTTGAAGAATATTGTTACAAAATCTTTTCTTTCATTATCTCTTATAAAAACGAATACCTTCATCGTAGCACGCATTGAACATCTGCTTTGCTTCTTCCACTAATGACGGAGGTCCGATACAATCATCAATTAATTTCAAAGCTTCTTCTTTCATTAACCCACCGTCGTGGTCGAAAACCTATACCGAATAAAATCGAATGTTTTGTATGTTTTCTTGCAGGTTTAAGTAACTTATTTTTTATTTTGAACTTTTTATATTTTATAAGTAAAAATTAAATATATAGCTAATAGAAAAAGAGAGAGAGAGAGAGAGAGAGAGAGAGAGAGAGAGAGAGAGAGAGAGAGCGTGCGTGCGTGCGTGCGTGCGTGTGTTGTGTGAAAGTGGTGGAGGGGGGAGAGAAAGAGAAAATGACAGAAAATAATACAAGTAATAATACGTATATTTTATGATTATAATTAAGTCAGTGTTATTACGGTATACTTTTTATGCAGAATATATTAAATTAATAATCTGCCACTGGGATAGCTTTATGTTAATGTCTAAGAAAATAAACGCGTATGTTTAAAACATACTTGTAACTTAATTACCCTGCATGTTAAGGTTATTTTGTCGATGAAAATATATATTAAATATAAATATACTAATGTGCTCCCAAGTAATTACATATCAGATTATCCAGGTATTCGAAATCGGTTCTGATCCTGCAAACTCAAATCTGCACTATTCGGGTAATCCGAGTAATCCATAGCGTCATATTTATCTGCTATCCGAATAATCGGGAATCCGGATAATGTCAGACCCGAATGAATATTGTGCATGCATGTTGCGTGCGTGCGTGCGAGTGTGAAACTTTAAAATATACTCACCCGTCCTTCCCATCTTAATGCCCGTACAGCAGCCGTGCGCATCGGCATCCATCTTGCATATTCATCTGCAGCATAAAAAATATACATGTTATAATGCAATTAAGATATCCTTTTCTGTTAGAATGGTATAACTAACATGAATTTATCGGCAAATGCAACATCCTCGCTTTCTCTATCAGAAATGAGAAACTATTGAATAGTTACTAGACAGATAAATAATTATTAACAATATAAAGGCAAGATAAATACGTGTTTGACAAAATAATGAGATATCGTGAATCTGAAATCATCCCATATTTGGAACATTATAATCGTTCTAATTGCTTAATTATGAAATAATTGTTTTAACAAAACAATTATTTTATTTTGTAAGTTCAATTATATATTTTGAAAGAAAATTCGCCCACTGTCGCGAGACTTGCTTGAGGGAGAAAGAGAGAGAAAAAGAGAGAGAGAGAGAGAGAGAGAGAGAGAGAGAGAGAGAGAGAGAGAGAGAGAGANCGTGAGCGAGGACCAAGGGTAAATTACATTATATGTAATTATATTAATGATTCTTTTGAGAGAAATTATACGACACAATATTTAATAGTACTATTAACAAATTAAAACATTAGTAATTACATCAATCAAATTTGGTTGGTTATAACTTTGATGCTTTCTTGATACTCTAGTGTCGATTTGTTCCGATAATAGAATTCCCCTTTCAAAACAAATTACAAAAGGAAGAGAGCTCGAGTGCCTATTACCGTGTTTATTATATATGTTTGCCGCAATTTTTTGCTGGCGTCCTATTGAAGACTAAATCTTAAATTCTCTAAGCCGGTTTTCTAACTTACATTGTATTTATTTGTTTGCTTAGATCATTATAATTCGTAATTTTAAAATTTCTCTAAACATGTTCCTTTAGTTTTTTTTAGCAATGAGCAATTATTTAGCAATGAATTTTAATACTTACTCGTATTCACTTGCGCAGGGTCTTCGTTTTTAGCATGATAAAGATGTTCGCCAAATATTCGTGCGCGTCTGGGGCTGTAGCCGGAAACCGCCGTCTAAGGGAATTGACCACATCAAAACATATAACAAATTTTTCATTATATCTTAACAGTCGTGTGCTATCACGGTATCCGACTTATTATGGAAAGGATCTTTTGCTTTCAAGATGTAGTTTATTTTACAATTAATAACAATATTCACCTACTATCGTCTATCGTAATAGAGTTCCATACAGAGAAGTATAACATAAGCACGAATATTCAAAGAAAAAATGTCATGTCGCATTACTATTAATTTAGGGATTCAATTTTTTGTCACATTTCAAATTTAAACTTCAAGTTTCTTATTTACTTATTCCGCGATCTAAGAATGCGTATAAAGAAAATTTAATGTCGTAATAATGCACTATCTGTAAGTTATCATATTAACATCAAAGTTGTCGCTTTGTGTACTGCTAAAATTAAATATTAAATTAATACGAGTTTCAAATGCAAAATGCGTGCAGTGAGATGTAAACCAAGTACTCGTTAGAATAAGATAATAATGTTAATAATAACACCGAAATGTGTATTCCAAGAATTTCGTACATTTACAAAGAATTTCGCTCGTTATTTGTCACTTACCGTAATAGCCAACACACCCGTAATAATTAGCAAAGTCTTCATCTTGAATCCTTTTGGTATATCCACGAAAGTAAATTGCTTCGGCGCTAGAAGTTTTAATCGTTGACTGTCTCGCGTTGAAGGTGAACAGTTTATTTATGTGATTCGTAAATACACAGATACGTTATATATCTGTGTCTATGTTGGTTAAATTTCGCTACAATTTAGATGATTTTCGTTGCTAAAATGCGTGACTTAATACTACTCTTGCAGAAATTAAAATAAGACGAGAAAATGAAATCAATAAAACAAGTATTATTTTATGAACGTGAGTTTCATGTTACTAATGAACTCATTTACTAATTTGAGATTTTTCGTCACAGAAGTAGTGAAATAGTAGATTTGAAATCACTTTGCTTATCGGGATTATTTGTGACACTGTCTTCGAAGGAATTGTTTAAATGAATTATTAACCAAATCAAGATTTTTCTCGAAATATGATTACAACAACGCTTATATATGTGCAAACCTATTCTATAATATTTTCATATAAACATAATAACTGTAACGGTTATAGTGTTTATAACAAATGTTTAAAACTACATATTCCGCAAATACACTTTATCGTTTTACGTTAATAAATTTAATTATGTATAATATTATAAAACGTTAAATAATTGTTGACTTTGATTAATAATATATAAACTTGATATTGAACAACTTAAAATCATTTTTTTCTGTAATAAGGATAAAATCAGTATCATGTTTGAAGGATAAATTTTAGTTTGTATCTGGTAAATATTATGTAAGCAATTTTGTAAATAACGTATACGTTTAAGTAATACCTTTTCAATCAAGTTTACGACATTTCTCAAGCGAGCCTAACTTATCACATACCAATTCGTGCGATTATTTTTTCCTTTTACTCTCCTTTCACTGATGAAGATTGGTTAAATGTTTTGTAAATTAACGTCATTTTATTCAATCATTGTTACAAACATAAAATTCAACAGAGAATAATTATGTAATGTATAGATAAGGTCAGAGATCAGAGAATATGATAGCAAAATAATATAAAGAAATTGTTTAGTACAATGATTTTAGAATAATATTTATTATTCATTTTTAATTTGGTTTGTCGAAGAGGGGAATAATTGGCAGACTGCACGTGGTAATTTTTATCGTCTGTTCATCACCAGTACTACCGTTTTGAATCGCTGCAATTAAAGGAAGGATTCGATAATTAAAAAATTATTTTTAAAATGAAATTAAGATTAAGTACCTTCATCGTAGCACTTAGTGAACACATTTCGCGCCTGTTCAAGTTTGCTCGTGTCAGAGATAATATCTTCAAATATCTTTAAGGTGTCCTCTTTTTTGTACAAACCATTCGCGTCCAAAACCTATAACAGATTAAATCAATTATTTTGTATTCTAACCCGTGAAATAGAGTTTCTCCAGCTGAAGACCAATCTATACAATCGAATGTAGGACATAGTCGTCGACGCTCAAATTGATTTAAAGTTTAATATATTTACCCTGCCACCCTTGACTATGGCGCATTGGAACACTTCGACAGTGGGGTTATCTGTAACGTATTTATTACAGATATAATGATTCGATAGCGATATATTGTATTTTTGAGAATATTCTATTTAATGTGAATCAGTTAGCTACAGAAACGTTGTCGTTGTCTTTATCAAAAATGCAAAACTCGTGCATGTAGTTTCTAAGTATATACGAAATATTGTTAATAATACAAAATAATAAGCGTTTTCTTAAAAAAAATATGGAACATTGCATAGGTAAACTCAATCCACCTCAGATTGTTCAATTATGAAATAATTGTTACAACCATCAGTTATTTTATTTTTGATTATTTTTGATTGTATATTTGTTAAATCTAAAATGATTTTAATATTCACCCGCCGACTGGCCCAATTCACTGCTGCACTTCAAGAAGTTCTCGTTGACTTGTCGTACCCTTTCGACGTTGAAACCGTACGCCATCGCCTGAAAAGGTTTGTCATCAGAACGTATAAAAATTAATCAATAATAATTAAAAATTGTCTCGTTTTGATTCAATGATCGCGTGCAACCGCGGTATCCGTCGATTATTAACTCGAATGAATTTTTTGATTACAAGAAGTGGCAAGTTTCATGATGGAATACTATGTTGCATCTCCAAAGGAGAAAATTACATAAGTACAAATAGTTAAAAATCAGCTTAGTGCATTATTACTTATATACGGTTTTAGTTTTAATTATCTCGCGAATTTAAATACGAATTTCAACACTTTGTTATCAATTGAATCCATAATCTGAAAATATCCGATGTCCATAAAGACAAGATGTTAACCCTTTGGAGACCACAGAGACATTGGTGTCCCAATCATTATATATTGTATTCTACTAGGTATATTTTAAACCAGAATTACATTTAAAACGAACGAACTGGTATTTCTCGAACCATTGTTATATTTCATAGAGTACAATACTGTGCAAATTGCATAAAAGAATTATAGTTTCTGTTTTTGTTTTTCTTAAGTTTTTATATTTTATAAAGTTTTGTTTTACATCGTATCATACATAAAGTTATAGTTTATGTATTATATACAGTATGATACTGTTTAACTTACTTAAAAGAATAATTATAATTTGTTTTTACCGATTAATAAAATTTTATAGTTCAGTTGTTTTATTTACATTAATTGCCATTGGGATAAAAACAACCCATAAAAAATTACCACTGAGACTTCTGTGTCCCAGTGCTCTAAGGGCTTCATGGACTAAATTGAATATTATAAATTAATAAACAAGGTTCTAGAAGCACCGCTCAATAAATTCAGTTACTAAATAGATCTGTAATAAGTTCAGTTACTAAATATCTCTAACAGGCAAAAGTGGTCCCCAAAGGGTTAAACAACATTTCTAGAATATATTTAAATGTTTTAGAAATAAGGACATTGACTTGTGAAACTGTGCAAGGCATAAGATCCACACTATAACTGTCGAATTACTCTTTGTGTTCTGCTGTACGAAATGTCTCAATTAACATAAGAACCAAAGTACATATAATGAAATAAGCTATGTATTTATTAAAATAAGGTAACAATAATACTGATAATAATTACCGAATTACCGTCACTGTTACATGAATTCATAAATTTCGTTTTTTGCTCACTACTTACCGTAATAGTCAGCACACTTATAATAATCATCGCAGTCTTCATGTTAGATTTTTGAAGTACGTGTAAGAACGTAATAGAACGTAATAGATATATTTCGACTTGCGATATACTGCTGCGTTGAACAGACAAGTCACGTATTTATAAGCGACTTACATGGAAAACGGGAGAACATCGTATAAGTAGTTAAATTAGTTATTTCCTTAAGCGACCGGATTTACATTGCTTAAGGATAAAGTCGATATTGCAAAAACAAGAAAAATATGAAAGAAAAACAAGATACATATGGATACCCGGAAAACGTATAACAATTATTTCTCGCTTATAAAAGAGAATAACAGCTTGATAGATTAATTGCAGAAAAATAGTGTAATTGTAGAAAAACCGTTGTTGTTGGTACATGTTCCTAGCGATAGCGACAAAATTTAATTAGCACAATCGAATTTGTGAGTTATTAGAGTAGAAACAATGTTGTGGATAAAATGAAAATATTTTTCTGAATGAATTTATCCTCAGAAGCATTTTAAATGATCGGACTGACATAAAAATTTATGCTTCAAAGTCTATGGACTGATACTTTAACCATTTTGGATTACTTTGACCTCTCTATCTCTTAAATCAATTCTCAGCTTAACTTGAAAATTCTTTGTGATTGGTGTCTCATCATATCATTTGGCACCCAATTCAGTTCCAAAATCGCGAGATTAAAAACGGCGAGAAAACCATTGATTTTGCGGTCGCTCTTTGCATTGTTAAAATAACTTTCTGTATTATTATTATTATTATTATTATCAAAAATTTAATCTTGATTAACTTTTCTTTTGTTATATTCTTTTTGCACTGATTTATCTCTAAGGAAATTAAAAAAAGTTACATTGCGAATATATTAGCGTTGCTTTTATAATATAGAATAGTTGTTTCTCTGATATAAACAAAATGTGTTGCTTGTTCAGTAAACATATTTTGTTATTACAGCACAATTTACTTCGCCCACATGGTCAAGATGAATTGTTCCTTCAGCAAAAATGTGTCTTCTTAATATTGCAGGCATTTCTAATATTTTGCTTGTATAACTAAATTGCACACATGATGTAATGAAAACGTTTCGATGACTGTTTAAGAACTAATTTGTTATCATAGCAAAATAATTTGTAGAATTATCACAAAACTATATTTAACAAATAAAATCAATATTTCTAACAAATCTTTTTGATATCCATACAATATCTAGTAGAATTTATGTTAAAATTATTCTTCGCCACATTTTAAATAAAATATATGTGATATGAATAATATACATATTTACATCTATTAGAATACACATATGTAGAGACGGTAATTAAGCTGAATAGCTAATGAAGATAGCACACATATAACTTAATAATAAATAAGCAGTTCAATTTGGCGGATTGTCCTCACAAAGCTGTATCTTGAAGAAAGAAAATTTGAATCGTGCTGTGGTAGTACCGATTCAGATATCACGTTTAATCAAAGATTGAACCGTAAAAATAAACTTCACCCATCAACCAATTTGTAATGTTATCTTTGAAACATGATTACTGTTTACATATTGTTCTGTTAACATGAGTTTTATATTCTTATCGAGTGCCTTTTCCGTGAACTTATCTTGATCCTTGCGACATATATTTTAATAATATTAAAAGATAATTGCTTAGCTAGATAATTGCTTAGCTTGTCAAAGTTAATTGCGTAATCACGTTTTCTTTGAAAACATAAATCCCATATTTCACGTGTTTTCTTCGTAAACATAAATCTCATATTTCTATCGCGATTGAGTTTTTTTGCGGCATAAGATTGCAACAATTATACGTCTGATATCAGAAAAAAGCGGCGATTCGCTGACGCACTACACTACGTGAGCAACTTATCAACATGCATTCGTACAAAATGAATATGTATTATTGAATATATTAGGGGGACCGGAAAGTAATGTCGTTTCTGCGCATGTCGATATTTGATTTGATTGATTTTTACCGCTTCGGCATTTAAAATTTGTATACTAGATGGCAAAAGGTTGTTGATAACGAAGGTGAATATATTGTTGATTAGAAATAAAAACTTGTTAAAAATGTAGTTGTGTGAATTTAACTTAAGAAAGCGACATTACTTTCCGGTCCCCCTAATATATGAATATATATTATTGGCTGGTTGGTAATAATATATATTCATATATAACTGAACTATGGTCACTCTCACTATCACTAAAGTCGAACGTCATGCAGTGAACTATGTCATATGCGGAATATTCCGCGAGCGGTGATAAAAAAAAGTCGCGGCTCGCGGAATATTCCGCGCTCGGTGATAGGAGACGATCGTCATGCGCGGAATGTTCTGCTTACGGATGCAAATGGGTTAATAACGAACTTGAATTTGAATAAATTTTCTTTAATATTATGAATGAGATAAATATTACTCGTGCAACATGAGCAATCGAGAAAAACAAATAATTTTTTCATTCGGATTTTTTAATAAGCAGATTTGCAAATAACTCATAACTTTATAAAGTTATTTTTTGTTTGGGTGTAAGGAAACACACATATTTTGATTTAAAACTTTCTTCAATCGGGATTTGTCTAGCTACTTTGGATGTTTGTACAAGACAACTTCATTTTATCAAATTAAATATAACTGCATTTATTAAATTTTTATTTAAGATAATTGTATTTTATTAAATGGTTAACATACACACACAAGTTTATAGATAAAAATCAAATAATATACAGGGAATATTAAATAGATACTCCTAAGGAAAAGTATGAAAAATATTATTAACAATATAGAACGATAAGTGATTATATGACAGAAAATAAGAGACGTCCGACTTATTTAGTTTTTCAACGACTATTCAATTAAGAAATCATTATTATAACGACAATTATTTTTTATATTTTTCCTGTTAGATTTGTCTGTTTTCAATTTTTATACACATCCGATGATCCTAATTCTTCGTTACAGTTCTTGATGTTCTGGTGGAACTTTTTCAATCGTACGTTATCGCTACTGTAAACCACCATCTGTAAGGATTCATCATTTTGAACAAGGTTTAACATTAACACATGTATTATCGTCTCGCTCTTCGAGTACTCTTACAAAAAACGTCATATTTAACGCAAAAAAGATTAACAGGTAATGCAAAAACAAGTTTGATAAAATGTAATCCATGTATTTAATAAGAAATGAAATAATATTAATATTAAGAGAATCATCGCAATATTACGAGAATTTTGTGAGCTCACAAAAGTATTCACAGTCGTTACTTGGTACTTAACGTTACAGCCAGCACACCCATAATAATCACAAAAGTCTTCATTCTGAGTCCTTTAATATGCCCGAGGAAGTTCTCTGCGAGAATTTTGTCGGAAAATGTGTTACATCGAAGTTGCGGCCAGATATTTATAAACTTTTCTCAGTGGTGTGAACGGATTTTAATTTTATACTAGCTATTTTTAGCCATACAAATCATCTGATTTGCATCATCACAACTTGACACAGATATTGTGGAAACAAATATCAAAGCAGAAAGGGAAGAAATATATATGGATTCATTATAATAGCCTATATGTGCGCGATGTTATTCTCGTCCTGAGTATTTGTAGACGGCTAGGTGTTATCCAACCATCCTCGAACCGCACTCGACGCTGTTTAATTTCATCGAATCGTCAATCAATCACTCAAGTCGAACGTCATGCAGTGACATCCAACGTCTACGATATTCTCTATACTTATGTTTATAAGATATCCCAAACCGTTCTCGGTTCTCATGGTGTGCAGATTGAACCGATGAAACTGAGCAGAAAAATTCTAAAACTTTTTTGTGAAGAGTTGGATAGTGCGTAAATGTCTTGAACGTTTCTTTGTCGCCATTTACACCAATATTCAAGACATAACAGGCAGTAATGATGTTGTAGGATATTTTTAAGCCTATACGTATTCTTAAACCTATAAACTTTCGAAAAATACTCCAAAAAAATCGAATTTTTGAATCTTTAAGACTTTACGACTTTAAGAAAACTTCCTTAAGACGAGTCGGAAATGATGTCATTATATAAATACATTTGATGATATGTTTATTGTCTCTTTCCATAGAAATTTTTTTAGTCTTGCAGAATGTTTCTTTAGATGAATGACTTGAATAAATTTTATTCAAGTCGTTCATCTAAAGAAATTCATCAATTTTAAATTTACATACATATCAACACAAAACGTAATGTGTTATACAGAGGTAAAGTTATGCAGAGAAATGCGAAGAAATTTATATGAGCGTTTCATACTCGTATAGTGTAAAAAATTCTGCAAATAATTCTTAATGTGGCTTGTTGAAGAAAAGCACCATCGGAACAAAGCATGTGGCAATTTTCATTGTCTGCTCCCGACCGGTGAATCCACTTTGATCTCCTGCAATCGAAACGGAATTTAGTAATCGCAAATATTATTTTTCAAGAGGCAGCAAAATTCATTACCGTCGTTGAAACACTTGGTAAGCATCTCTCGAGCCCTTTTCAATACGCTCAGGTCGGAGATAAAATCTTCTAAATCTTGCACGGCTGCATCTCTTATGTATTCACCATTATCGTCCAGAAGCTGGAATAAATTATACTGCGAATTAATATATGTCGTATGTGAAGAACATAAAGAGAAGAATTTTAATATCTATTTCCCGTTAATAGTTAAAATTTAATTTATATATCACTAATAAACTAATAATAAATAATAAAAAAAATAATTGCTTTCAATATAACACCCATTAATATATTAATATCTTTTATCAATTAATATATTTAATTAATATATATAACTAAACTAAGTGAACGCAAAGCGAACGTTCCTTGAACATTTACGTGCTGCTTGGTGTTACATGTAAAATAGTTTTTTCATAATTAACATTTTTTTTGTTTTTTTTCACAGTTATCTCCTGTTATGTGCAATTTATTAATACAATTAAAGTTCTCCTGTTAAATGTATACATTAAATATAAAATTAAATATACCTTGCCATCCTTTTCCACCGCGCATACAAGTACTTCGGCAGTTAGTGAGGCTGTAAATATAAACAGGCACAAATAATAAATGTGTTTGCTGAATTGCGAGATTTTGAATTTCGTTTGGATGTTGTAATAACGTTGTTTTCTTTATTACAATCGCGAAATTCTTGAACGTAGCTTCTAAACAAAAACGAATGATTATTAGCGATACGGAAAAGTGAATTTTTTTCTAGAAAAAACTAAGAAACGTTTCGAATTTTAATGTAGGTCTCTTCCGAATGTTCTATATGTCTAATGATACCTTTGCAACGTTTTATAATGTCTTAATATTATATGAATAATTTCATTTATGAAATTATTGTTATAAATGAGTTATAATTATTGTTTGAAATGAATGTATCCTATTTTCTTCTTTGTGTCATGTTTCTTTTGATATTCTAAATTTTAATACTCACTCGTAGATGCACCTAATTTTTCACTACATTTCATTAAATCGTCACTGAACTTTCGAAGTCGCACAGAGTCTAGACTGTAAACTGTCGTCTGAAAGGATTGATCATATCTAAATATATAGAAATTGCATGAATTAATAATCAAGTGCAATCGCGATATCTGTCAGCTTGAAACGAATTTTTTATCTGCCAAAAGTAGCAATTTATTCGATTATTATTTTTTGTTTCCAACAAAAATCATTTCATTATTGAGTGTAGTTAGAGAAAGATTCTCTCCTGTTACATTATTATTTATTACATACAAAATATTTGTTATTTCGCGTGTAATAACAAAAAAGATTGTTTCTATCTAAGGATCCGAACTGTTTCTCTATGTCATTTTAATTTTCAAGCTGCAGGCATATGTCTATAAATAAGACAATATGGGTGTGAAATTGTTTGAAATTGTTTAGAAATAATTTCTTTTACTTGGTATCGGCACACTTTGAGCAGAGTATAATTTTAATACATTGGCTATGGGTAAAATCTCGCTCAAGTCTTGCTAGAATTTTAAACATATATTCGGAGAATAAAAAATCTTATTTTATATAACCAAAGCGTATTTGCATATAAATGAGATTTCTTATTTTCTAATTTATCACCAACATGTGTCATCTGAAATGTTATCTTGCTTTTTAAATATTGCTGCATAAAAGGTCGAAATTTAATTGCATTTCGAATGCAAAATGCGTGTAATACAATTTAAATCATGTACCCATTAATACAAATACTTCGTGGAGTCAAAATGAAATTTAATCGTTGCGTGATACTTACTGTAACGGCCAATATGCATATAATATGATACATAATCGTCAAAGTCTTCATTTTTAATTATTCCGAAATGTCTCAAGAAATATCAAACGTAATAAAAGTGCGATCAATTTTCTACTGTCTTGCGACGAAACATCTGTTCGTATTTATAGGCGAGTCACAGTGATTGTATTACCTTGAGTTTTTTGTAATACTAGCAGTTGTTTTTCATATTCTATTTAAACTACATCACTGCAAGGTAACTGTGGAATAATTAAACTTAAGAACGTGAATATTTGCTTTATTTGAATATTTAATAATATGTGGCACTATTTTTATTTGTGGAACGTTTTACATTTTGCATTTTAAGTATGGCGGACTCTTATCTCTTTGTATTTATATGTCTATATCACATATACTGTAAACGTGGAACGAGCTTTTAAATGATTTTATTTAAAATATGAATTATCGACATTTTTTTGATAATTACAGGGAAAACTTCATCGATTGTCGGACTCAACTGCCACGAAGTAATATATTAAATAATATACAAAATCTGTTACCAAAAAATATATATTAATAAGGAAAAAAATAAAAACAATATATTATATTAAGCACGAGAACGTAGAAAACAGAATTGATTCCTGATCGTATTTCAGCTTTACGGCTTTCAGCTATGCGCATAAAGTCGAAAAACGTAATGTTATATGAGTTCATTTATGAAATTATTGTTATGTGAGTTATAATTATTGTTCGAAGTGAAACCTATTTTCTTCTTTGTGTCTTGTTCCTTCGAATGTTCTGAATGTTATTACTCACTCGTCGATGCGCCTAATTTTTCAATATATTTCACTAAATTGTCGCTGATATTTCGAAGTTGTACAGGGTCTAGACTGTAAACCATCGTCTGAAAGGGTTGATCATATCCAAGTATATAGAAAATATTTGGATTAATAATCAAGTGCAATCGCGGTAGCTGTCAGCTTGAAACGATAACTTTGTATTTATTATTAATACAATACAAAATTAAATTTAGGTATATATGATGAAGTTTATATAAGACAGCATATTGCATGCATAGCCGCCAACTTGATTTGAATAATATGAAATATGGTACCGACTGATTGAAGTTTTCTCGAATAGCAATTTTGCTGCCGCATCTTTCATGTGTTACTTTTGAGAATGCTGTACGTTTTGGTGCGCTTTATTTTGTAGTTACAATTTTTATATTGACAAGTACAGATACTTGCGTGCGCTATTTAGCTAATTATTATTGGAAAATTCACATTTCGTATAATTAAATACTTATTAATCTAAAATTCTTTATCAGATTAAAAACTTATTTTTCATATTTTCGCCTTTCTTAACATTTTAATTTATTATGTTCCCTAACACGCAAATTATCGAACTATTGACATTCACGTCATGATTTGTCAGATGTAATTGAGACGTGTGATACAAATCGCGACATGACAATATGAGAGAAAATTGGCATTCTAAAAACGCGATATAACAATGATTTAAATAATTTTGAATATCAACTTTTTATTTCGATTTTAGAAAGGATGATTATATGGAACAATTTCATGCAATTTAATGAAATCCGGAAATCCAGTCGTATTTTATAGGACTGTCTTGGAATTCGATTGTGATTTTTCCAGAACTTATTTCTTTATTGGAATTTTGATAAGTTTTTATTATATATCAGAATAATATAAATCTATCAGAATCCAAATCCTATCGCGGCCGTCTTAATACAGTGACGCTTAAGAGGGAAGTCTACTATAAAATTTTCAAAAAATCAATTTTTTCTTTATTGGCTTAAAAAATACTTTGAACCCTCTAAAATAAGGTACATTAGGTGTTATAGCCGGCTAAATTTTTCTTCATTGAAATTTCGACTTTTCACCGAAGCGCTCCGAAACGCGTACCTGCGGCAAATTCCTATCTGTTCGGCGGGTACAACGTAATGACTTGCAATTCAATTTCTAACATTTCTAATACTCCAAGTCGATCAACAGATGTCACTAGGTATATTTTATAGTCAGTTAGAAGCGATTTCAACAGATGATCTGATCGTTAGCTCCGAAACAAACATTCAGCGGCGCAAAAACCGTCGATATTGCGTCGTATTGTGCTGCGAGCATTTTCAATGAAGGCTACTCCAGTATCCTCAAAATGATGGACGTTATGAACATCAAAATTGGACCAAACGCCTTCAATTTATGCAACACTGTGGACGAGCGCAGAATATCACGAGCAAACGAACGGTCGTTCGACGCTTTAAAAGAAGGGAGAATCGAAAGAAGAACGGCGCGATCGGCACTCGAAGAGGATTTCCTTGAAGAAGAAGGTGTACTATATGAAGCAGGAATGGGCGATTAATGGTAAGAAGCTTAAAAATGATTTTTTCATTGAAAAAACTAATGCCGAAACTTTAAACGCGTTTTTCTCGAAACTAAGTTTTTCAATACGGTGTACACGATATCTCGAGTTTTAATGAATGAATCGACTTGAAATTTTAACCACATATTCTCTGGAATAGTGTCTCTCGTCTGGCGGAGCATTTTTTTAATATCGTTTTTTGTGTAATTGTTACACAATTATACAATATAAACAATTGTTACACAATTATACATATAAACAATAATAACATCAAATTTGGGCAAAAAAATAGAAAAAAATTTCAAGAATTTTTTCTCGGCGCCAAAATTTTTTATCGACAAAATCCTCCGTCAGACGAGAGTCAATACTATGTAGATGATAACCATATTTTGTTTTTTGTTTCAGATCACCCAGACGTGAGATTTCATGTACACCGTTTGGGCACCTAAAAAAAACGGACCTGCACTTGAAGGAGTGCCACGACGGCAATTTTGAATATTTCGACTTGAAAATTTTTTTACAAATACTTGAATATATAATAAAGATGACGGTTTAATTTAATTTAATGTACGAGTCATATTTTGTTAGAAAAAAAATTCGGAAAATCGGCCTGTTTTTTCCCTTGTCACAGTAGACTTCCCCCTTAATCGAAAATCAATCGCACAGTAAAATTTGTTCATTTTGAAGTCTTTAATTGCCTTTGAAACGTGATTCGCCTTTTCCATCAACATAAACTCACAACGTAAGTTTCATGTTTTCGATGAACACTTTGTCCATTTATTATTTATATATTTATTTATAACCCTTAGTCATCTGTGAGCGATAAGCTAAGAATTAATTAGTTATTGTCTCGTTTGTTGGAACTAATAACATAACGATGTCTTCGTAAAAATAAATTCAATGAATCTTTAATGCAGCTGAGTTCTTCCGAGATGTAAAATTGCAACTATTTCACGTTTGGTAGCAGGAATTGTGTCGGTACAAGTTTACGCAACGCATCGCCAGTGTGCAACTCAACGTAGTGTATCCATATAAAACATAGCACTAATTAATTGGTTTTTAACTAAGTAATGATTGCTTTACTAATCATTGCAGACAAGACTAAAGCAGCATTTTTTTATTCATATTATTTTAATGAATACTGCTGTGAGAATGTAAAGTGATGTCATTTTACACAATCCTGCTTTACAGTCCAGCATGTTGTCAAATCTGAGAATGAGGTAATCACTAAGACAATGTTTATTGTTTAAGATGGGCAGCTATGATTTTCTCACCAAGTCTCTTATGTTTAATTATCCGTTTTAATATGAATTTGTTGGATTATTTTTAAAATCTCTTTATTTCAACTTTATTTTATTGTATTACCAATATAAAGATACATTTTGACAAAAATATATCAAACTGGAAACATAAAGTTATACAGAAAACCTCGGAAAAAAGGTAAAGATAGCGTTTAGAATATTGTATGGAAGAAAATCCGCAAGTCACTTTTATTGTGGTGCGTCCAATAGAGGCAAAATTGCCAAAGAACACCCGGCAATCTTCAACGACTGCTCTCGGCCGGTGGATCCACTTTGAACCCCTGTATTTACAGACAGAATTCAATAATGACGAAAATTATTTTTCAAAGAGATAATAAAATCGATTACCGTTATCGTGACACTGGGCGTACATCCCTTGCGCTTTTTTCAATCTGTCTGCGTCGGAAACAAAATCCTCGAATGCCTTTATGGCTGCATCTTTCATGTATTCACCATTTGCGTTAAAGACCTGGAAAAAAATTACATGCTAATTTAATATTCCTTGAGTGGGAAAAAAAAGATAAAATTTCAATTTTTTCTAACTTTTTGAAGTTTGCAAGAGCCGATTACGTACTGATAATATACTGCGCATGTGTTACTATTATGTAGTCTTAGTACCTTAATTACACCATGTGTTAAGGTTATTTTGTCAACTAATATACATTAAATACAAATATATACGTACTTTGCCATCCTTTTCCCCCGCGCATACAATTATTTCGGCAGTTGGTGCAGCTACAAAGGAGTAATAAATATGATTGCTGAATTACGAGGTTTCGAATACTTTAAAGATGCTTTAACAAACACAGTTCAACGATCAATCGGGCATAACAACATTACTTCCTCTATCATAAACGCCAAATTCTTGAGATTTTCTCGACATATATGACTAATTATTTCGAATAATCTTTTTTTTACCAAAGGAGAAGATATCGCGAATTTCAATTTAAGTTATTTCCGTATATACATTTATGAAATTGTTATGATTGTTATTTTATTTTTTATACCATATTCTTTTCTGTGCACTGAATTTTAATACTCACTCGGCGACCCGCCCAATTCCTCGCTGCACTTCACTATGCTCTCGGACAACATCTGTAATCGCGCTACGTCTAGACCGTGAACTACTGTCTGAAAGGATTGATCACATTCAAAATATATAGAAACTGTTTTATTTGGATTTAATAATTAAGTGCAATCACAGTATTCGTCAGTTTGTGATGCAACTGAATTTTTCATTTGCAATAAATTTCAAGTTTCATGATTATTATTTTAACGGAGAAAATCCGTAATTAAAATCCTCATAAAAATTTATTTTAATTTTTCTGATAAAAATTTAAAACAGGCGCTAGAAAGACTCTACACTAGAAATGCAACGCTCGTAAAATTTATGGTCAGATTTCTATCTAACGAATAAATCTATTTAAGACCTGACTGAGCCGTATAAGCTACAGATCTTGTTATTATGTGGTTAGAAAAAAACTTGCTCTTATTTATTATATTATTATTTAAGTATATATATAACTTTTGTCTTTTTACGAATAGCTTGGAAGGTGCACATGCATTATCCCGAAAAAAAAAGTTACAAAATGTGAGAAGGGTGACAATTTCCCGAAATATTATATTTATAACCGTCCGAAAGCTGAGTACAGCAATAATTTCTTAAAAATACAATTTTGCTGAAACATTGAGAGCATGCCATTTTTCTGAGAAGTCATAGTCCCAAAAACTTAATACTAGGGCAATCTGCCCAAGTATTGAAAGCATGAAGCTGTTTTGCAAAGTTATGTAATGGTAAGACGTACATAACACAATATGTATTAAGGGTTTCGATTAATTTTAAAGGATATTTATGCTCAAAAATATTTATTTAAGAAAACGATGCATTATATTTCGATCAATATATTTTCCACCGCTTGCTACAACTTTTATCAATCTTTCTGCCAAAAAGCGGATACCTCATTAATCTCATTAAGATAAAGTATTTCGAGAGATCACAAAATATTTTATTTAGTGCTTGCGACTTACCATAACGGCCAATATGCACACGATAGGATATATAATCACCGAAGCCGTCATTCTGTATCCTTCCAGAAGGTCGCAAGAAACACGAAGTGTAGTGTAAGTGAGTTTATTCATATACTGTCGCATTATAGCTGCAAGTTCGTATTTATAGGCGAGAGGCAGTGATGATAATAACTTACGTTTTTTGTAATGTCTTGTTATACCTGTTCTACGTGATTTGATGTATGATTTGAGGTCACCACAAGATAAAAGTGGTATAATTTAAATTAAGAATAAAAGTTATATGAAGGTTGATATCCTACGTAGATTACCATAATAAATATCTTTGAACACGTTTCATCTGATTGACGTTACTACGAAGTAACAGTGGTATATAAATAAGCTTAT